GCGTGGTGCGCAGACCTGCACATGCCCTAAAGTGGCACCAGCCAAGGCAGGTGTTCCGCTTGACTAATGTCACTTTACGGAATATCGTGGTCTGACATAACGTGCAGATTGTAGGAGGAACCAAGAGTTGTTGGCGACGGCGTGTGGGTGGTGGTGCGGTTGAGCGTGTTCTGTTGTTGTTGTTGTTGTAGCGGCTACAACAACCCCGCCCAGATCGGTTGGTATCTCAGTCGTTGTCGTCAAGTTCCACTAACGGCAACCCTAGGAAGCGTGCAGCTTCTGCGGGGTTTGCCCATAGGGACAAGGCCGTTAGGGATGTCGGGTTTGCCGGGCATGCGAAGAGATGTTTTGAGTCATGTGGGGTCTCTCCGCATGCCGGACATTCGTTCGGCACATCCTCATTCAAGTAGGAGTTTAACCTGCTGCAGTAGCCGGAGCGAAGTTGTGCGAGTGTAGTGCGTGTCTGCCGAGGCAGATGAAGCTCCGTCTCGTCTATGTCCGGGGGTGGTGTGCCTAGAACGGCATTCACAGGTCTAGAGTCTACATAACTCGAGACTGAGTCCCTGTGAATGCCGTTCAGGGCCTGTCTGTAAGCTGTCGGGTCCAGAGGTTGCTTAATGAACCTCTGGACTTCGTCCGTTAGTTCATATAGATGCCTCCTGACGTGCCTAGGCGAGGGCTCCTCTGCAAGCAGCTGTCTGCTTGGGTGGCCACTTCTGTGGCTCCCGATCAGGAACTGCTTGCAGAGCATTATATTATGCTCCTTTACAGGGAGCATTTGCGCCTCGCCGTGCAGGTGGTGTTCAGGCGACATCAAGAGGCATCCCGTCGCTGTCCTGAGTGCGGTGTTCTGTACAGTCTGTAGCTTCGTCCACTGCGTCCTACTAGTCCCTGGCGACCACACTGGCGCTGCGTAGTTCAAAACCGGCCGGCCTATTGCCTTGTATGTTGCCAGCAACGTTTCTTTGTCTTTGCCCCAAGTACTGCCGGCTAGTGACTTGAGGAGTGTGTTCTGTGGTCTGTCGCGGTTGTGGTGTGGTCTATTGTGTTATGTTGTTGTGCTGTGGTGTTTGTGTGGGACTGCTCAGGTGGAATGGGGTTAGCCGTGGAGGCTGCTCTGTTTAAGCAGCAGGGGCCACAAACGACTTGGTCCACTGCCGATGTGTCCGTAGTCCTGAGCAGACTCTGAGATGACTCCACCCCTCGCAAGCATTGCACTTGACTGAGGTGGAGTGGAGGTGTAGTCGTCTCTGGCATACACAGCAGGTGTAGGTTTCTGGCCCTGGGTTTGACTCGATGCCAGCCCTGAGCAGAAGAAAACGTAGCGAATGTAGCCCCATGGACGAACAACTTCTGAGATACTTCACCAACCTAAAAGGGGTTAGATCGCCGAAACAACAGCCCTTGGTCAGGTAAAGCCCCGAGTCATTCCGGTACGTAGAACCGGCTGTCGTGGGAATGGGTGCGTCCAAGTACAGGTGGTGTTGGCGCAGCGGATGCCGATTTAACTTACTCCTTACCATGCGGATAGGATGCAGATAGATTGCACTGGTCGCCGAGATTTTCGTATGTGATTTCCACAAGTATCTTCAATCCGATCACTGTCCTTTGTTAGCCTGCCGGGGACCTGCAAACATAAGCATTACGGACGTAAGAAAGGTGTATTTGAACAAGTGCAAATGCCTTTGTGCTGTGTTCTTACACATATGTGTGTACCAACTCACAAACGCCCACAGGCCATTAGTTTATACATACAAGGCAAGACACTTGATTTATATTTTTAAATTTTTTTAAGCATTTGCATGCGGGTGATACAAAGTATGTCACAACTTACCGGCAGTCTTAAGCACCTGTATTCCTCAGGGTCTGTACTGCTTGTACTGTCACTCCACAAAACTGGTATCGCGTTTCTTTCTATATATATTTTTCTAATAGCCGCGCACTTACAGAAGACTCCACGCACCTTACACTTAACGTCACTTTGATAATGACCCGTTGGCCTTCTCATGCGCCTTTTATAGACGATCAAGCGGAGAAAGCCTATCTTGCCTCATGCCTACGTTCCTACTTTCACTCATACCCAAAGGTCCCATTTCAAATATACACATACACACGCACACACTCATACTGCACTATGCCCATCATATTATCCACTACTTCCGACCCACTGCTTCCGATTTATTGTTGCTAATGCCTCAGCAACATCATGGCCGCCGTATATACATGCATACCTGTATTGGCAACACTTCCGCTTAAGCAACTGCTGGCGCTACAGTATTTACCCAGCAAATACAGTTTTTTTTTTTTACTTTTTTCAACTTTGGTGAGGTTTTTACGCACTATTTTATAAGAAAATCATACTAGTCCTAAATTGATTGTAAAACCTAATTTAATAACTAGTAAAACGAGTGTTTATTTTCAAAAATCGGATGAAAGTTTACTGAGTACTTAACCTTTTTATGAAAACAAAATTTTTGCAAAAATATAATTTTTGACTATACTACTCCAAAATGTTTTCTTGACCGTCTTTTTCTTAACTAAGCATGATCAGTTTCTCGTTTTGGAATATTCTGAAATCATTTTTATACCCAAGCGCACTTGTACGCAAGGGTATTATAGCTTTGTTCACATAACGGTTGTTTGTAACAGCCAAAACTAATCGAGATAGATTTAGACAAATGTATACATAAATGATCAGAATGAAAAAAGAAATCGATTAAGCCGTGACTGTCTGTACGTCCGTCTGTACACACGATAACTCGAGTCAAAATTGAGATATCTTAACGGAACTTGGTATGTGTACTTCTTTTTAGCGTATGTCGGATGGTATTGAAAATGGGCATATTAAAAAAAGTTTTTTAATTGTAGCCATTTCTTGGTGAAAGTGTTCCCCTTCTTCTATGTGGGAAGAAATCCAAATGGAAATGGATTTTTAAGGACATGTTAAAACCCATTCCACCGTAAGTATTCAAAAATTCGTTAACAACCGTGACATAGTCGTCGCTTCTGTGGCTTCCAAAGAAATTATTGCATACGGCTACAAAACACTTCCATGCACGTTTTTCTACAGAGCTTAGCTTGTTCAGAAAGCCCACTTCGCTCATAATTTTACGAATTTGAGGTCCTATGAAAATACCTGAAATTCATAAAAAGAGACAAAACCGGTGAAAAAGTATTAGATGAGAGAATAAAAAATTAATACCTCCTTTTATTTTGGCTTCACTAAATTTTGGGAACACAACTTTACAATTAGGGGTATTCTCGGAGTCTTGCAAAGCCCTTGCACGGTGCATGGATTGCACGAAAAAAACCTGATTTCCTATGGGACCACTTTGCTGGGACCACTTTGCAAACCGTGCAATCCCTGTACCGTGCAAGAGCTTTGAAACTATAGGGGTTTCATATATCCCACGTTTAAACCAGTGATGGGCACCATAACACTATCACATTTTGAGCATGTGTTAGTGTCTTTTGCCGAGAGCGGACGACTCGGCCATTCAGTCGATTACTTCAGTTGAAACGAGGTGGTTGTGCGCGCACGATACTGGAATTCAAGAAAAACGCAAGAGCAACTCCTAATTTTCGCGCTGTGAAGCGTGCAGACAACGCAACATGCCTCGGCAACAGCTTATGCGAGACTGATTCATTGGTTGAATTGCGTTTTTTTCGGCAATATAATGTGTTAGCATATATGTACTTGTTAAAAGCGTAGTTGAGCTGTTCGCGTGATACGAAATGCCCACTACTGGTTTAAACGCAGTGGTGGTAGGACAACATTTTGAGCTTTGGCCAATGGGTCGTTTAAAACGTTTCTCCAGCCTATTTGATCCGGCTCTCGGAATTGCCATACTTTGCGATCATAGAAAACGTCAAATTAAAAAAGGGTCAAGAAAACAATTTTTGAGTTGTATAGCCAAAAATAATATTTTTGCAAACATTTTGTTTTCATAAAAAGTTTAATGACTCAGTAAACTTTCATCCGACTTTAGAAAATAAACACTCTTTTCACTCGTCATTAAATTTAGTTTTACAATCAATTTGCTGGGTAAATACACACAGATCTTTTAAGGTTTCTTTACTTATATATATATATCGTTCGAAAGGCCCAGCTTTTTATTTTTAAACCGAAACTCGGTTCATAATCAACTAAGTTTCATGCTTATGAGTGTGCAAAAGTACGAAAACCGTGTTTGGGTTCATAAAAAGTTTAATGACTCAGTAAACTTTCATCCGACTTTAGAAAATAAACACTCTTTTCACTCGTCATTAAATTTAGTTTTACAATCAATTTAGGACTAATATGGTTTTCTTATAAAATAGTGAGTGAAAAGCTCACCAAAGTTGAAAAAAGTAAAAAAAAAATGTATTTGCTGGGTAAATACACACAGATCTTTTAAGGTTTCTTTACTTATATATATATATCGTTCGAAAGGCCCAGCTTTTTATTTTTAAACCGAAACTCGGTTCATAATCAACTAAGTTTCATGCTTATGAGTGTGCAAAAGTACGAAAACCGTGTTTGGGTTCATAAAAAGTTTAATGACTCAGTAAACTTTCATCCGACTTTAGAAAATAAACACTCTTTTCACTCGTCATTAAATTTAGTTTTACAATCAATTTAGGACTAATATGGTTTTCTTATAAAATAGTGAGTGAAAAGCTCACCAAAGTTGAAAAAAGTAAAAAAAAAATGTATTTGCTGGGTAAATACACACAGATCTTTTAAGGTTTCTTTACTTATATATATATATCGTTCGAAAGGCCCAGCTTTTTATTTTTAAACCGAAACTCGGTTCATAATCAACTAAGTTTCATGCTTATGATTGTGCAAAAGTACGAAAACCGTGTTTGGCAAATTTCATATTTCGATTCTTGTTTTACTCGAAAGGACCTACCAGAAAATATACATAACTTCCCATGTATTTTTTAGTGTCGTACAGGGTTATTGGCTTAACTCTTGTTTTACTCTTTGCTGCAACGATTACATTACAATTACTCACATTACGTGGTTTCATTCCAGAAGGGGGGGCTGTAGTCGGCGTGATTGTAACTGAAGGTGTAATGGTAAGATTTGGAAGATTGGAACGTGAATGAATTCTTTGAGAAGAATGCGAATTGCCTGAGGTCAATGTTGTTCCTCCTGGAAGAGACGAACGAGGTGGTGGAAGAACCGAAGAATTAGCGCGGCTGAATGAAGGTGATGAAGTTACCATAGTACATGGAGATGACACTGAATTGCGGCTGTATGATGTAGTGCTTAAATTTGAACCAACTAGTAATTCAGCGTGCTTTCAAAGGCTCAGAAATCGATACTTACTTTATATTTACAGTGGTGGACCGACCTTTTGATTGGTTCGACACAGTCACTATAGTTGTAGTTGTTACGCTTAATGAACTTTTAGATGTGAGAGCAGTTGGGATAAGAGTCATGGCATTGCTAGAGGAAGCTGTGTGCGTGAGGGCTAAGTTCTCCTTCATTACATGTTGCGACTGTTTAAGTTTCTTAAGCAAAACCAATTTTGTTTCTTCATTTCGCAGATCCTCCCTAAGTTTGCGCAAGCCTTTTTCCCGTTCCACAATTTCAGCAGGGGACAATTCCTTTATAGGAACGTATGATGCAGAATCTTCATCGTCTGTTTCAGAATCTATGTTTCCGTTATGTTGCCGGCCGTTTATGCGTGCTGGTAATAAAACTATATCTGGTGCCTCTGCGTAGGACTTTGGTTCAGTTCGTGGTCTTAGAACACGTCGTTGTACTTTATTATCTTCCTGCAATACTAATTCTGTACCAATAATAGGGTAAATTAAATAAGTTTAAGCGTAAATTATAATCATTAATATGCCATTACCGTTAGTTGAAATTGTGCTGGGCAGTGACGATGTAGATATAATAGTCAGGCCAGAATTTTGCGATGCAACACGGGCGTCCCGAATACCAGATGGAGTTATAGTTAATGCTGGATCTCGACTAGAACCAAGACTTAAGTCCACTACATCATCGATATCCATTTTGGCCATGCCTTAAGAGGTGTGAGATTTGATTGAAGTTTATATGAACTACAAATAAAGAGAGAAATTTTAAAAACCAAGAAAGTAAATACTGAAGCGCTAAGCCTTAATATCTTAAGTGCTCGGCATATCATGTCTCATGCACATTAGGTCAATATTTTACAAATCGTGCATTTTATTACTTCATAATTTAGAATCAACAAAAAAAATTTTTATAAGTTATATGCCTATACCGGCGGCCGCCGTGGAGTATTGTTTAGCAGTGCACGGTACCCCCGCGAAGGGCCTGAGTTCAAGCCCAGTTTCCAATATAAAAAATAAAAGTTTTTTCTAATAGCGGTCGCCCTTCGAGCGTATTCTGCAATGAAAAACGGCTTCTCATAAAAATACAAACGCCGCAGTGTTTCGACTATATGGAGGCAGGTGGAAATAACTCACTGAAACTTGACATGTGCTCTAGTTTTACTTAGAAATAGAGAATTATGAAATTTTTTAAAGATAAGATGAAATAATTGCCACGCCCTCTACTCTTGTGGGCGAAAACACTATTTTAATCCGATTTCGATGAAATTTAGTTTGTAGTGATTTATTTTGGAACAAATTTCCGTCATCCCTTGTTTGGTTTGCAGACAAACCGGTTTCGACATTGTGCCATCTTCAGTGACATTTTTCGTTCTGTAGTAGTTCTGTGTAATTTGTAGTCTTTATTAGAGAAACCTAAATATAAAATATGGGTAAGATTGGATCACTATAACGTCCAAAACTTACAAAAAATGTGGGCCAAGTTATTAAATGTGATGGAATTTTGGTTAATTTTTGTTTCCTGCTTTCCACTCTCAGAAAACAAAGGTTATGCTATAAAATGACTTATACTACGTTCAAATTGACGAGCTAAGCATGTTAAATGGGCTTGAACCAGTTAAATGAACAAAACATGTTTATAAACAACTTAAATCGCATGCAATTGTTGTTGGAAAATTGAACCAGTTAAATCATTTAACTCGTTTGAAAACCAGTTCAGCGCAGAGTTGTATCAGAAAGCTTTCTGCTCCGACCAATCAGAAAGACCCAAAAGCTTTCATTTGACACGCCAACGTTCAAAAAATTTATATTCTGAAAAATATTAAAAATTAAAAATTATCAAAAATTATCAAAATTGTATGCATGTCTGCCAGCCAAAAAAGAGGCAAAGGCGGTGATTAGTTATTTCCCATGAGGTCTCATCGTACGCAGAGATAAATAGAGCATACAAACTAAACATTTTGAAGTCTCTAAGTTATCCGTATGCGTTAATATCATGAAGCAGACATTCGCACAAAACAAATTGAAACACAAAAACTTGATTTTGAATATTTTTTTCGAATTTTTATAGGTAATCAAACAACCGTCAAAGTTAACTCCAAATGTTCAATGTGGACGATTGTGTTTTCCAAAAAGCTCTTTTTCATTTAACAAGTTAAATGGGGCCAATTTGAACGTAACATTAGGTGTAAATACTCGCTTTTTCCCAATATTTGGCGAGATTTTTTCACTGTTCGAAAAATTCTTTTCACGAAATTATGCAAAAAGAAGCTGAAAATCAAAAATTAAGAAAATTAAAAATTACATATATTTGCAGAGTCGCGCGCAAAGATCAAATTATATATTCGAAAACTACATACATTCGTCTAATTTCAAGACCTGACGGAGCGATACTCGCACTTTTTTTACAATAATCTTTAACATCTACATTCCAAAGTAAATTTTTCGGTAAGAAAATAGGAAAGTACCAAATAAATGATAAATACCTTCACCTGAATATTCCACGCCATTTAAATAATTGATTACAGTTGAAAAAGAAATATTTTCTTTAATGGGTTAATCGTCAAAGGCAACTAAACTGATTAGTCGGTAGCGCGCCCATTTCGAATTTTTTGGAAATGTATCGTTCGTGAAGAATGACTTTTACTTTTCCTTCTCTAAGTCTATCGGTTTTTTTTTATCAACTTTCACCATGACCTTTTTCTACCTGCCTCCATATAGTCGAAACACTGTGCGCCGTTCGGAGTCGGCGTAAAACTGTAGGTCCCTCCCCTTTGTTTGGGAACATCAAGGTGCACTCCATAAATCGGAGGAGAAGCTCGACCAAACACTAACATATTGTGCAAGCACCAATCTATTATTATTTTATGCCTATACCAGGATATAGTCGACAATTTTTCCCCCAGACAATTAAGGTTTCGAATTTGGATGTTGTTGTTGTTGTTGCAGCGGTATATTCAGCCCTGCCTAGTTCGACTTGTCAATCAAACGTTGTCGTCAAGCTAATTTAACGGGACACCCAGGAACTGCGCAACTCCACCTGGGATACTGTGGATAGCATAGACTCGGCGACAAAGTTTAACCATGGCCGTCGATAGACGACAGCCGGTTCTACGTACCGGAATGACTCGGGTTTTACCCGACCAAGGGCTGTGTTGTTTCGGAGATCTAACCCCGTTTAGGTCTGCGAAGTATCTCAGAAGTTGTTCGTCATAGGGCTACATTCGCTACGTTTTCTTCTACTCAGGGCTGGCATCAAGTCAAACCCAGGGCCAGAAACCTACACCTGCTGTGTATGCCAGAGACGACTACACCACAACTCCACCTCAGTCAAGTGCAATGCTTGCGAGGGGTGGAGTCACCTCAGAGTCTGCTAAGGACTACGGACACATCGGCAGTGGACCAAGTCGTTTGTGGCCCCTGCGGCTCAAACAGAGCAGCTTCCACGGCTAACCCCAGTCCACCTGAGCAGTCCCACACAAACACCACAGCACAACAACATAACACAATAGACCACAACACAACCGCGACAGACCACAGAACACACACAACCGCACCACCACCCACACGCCGCCGCCAACAACTCTTGGTTCCTCCAACAATCTGCACGGTATGTCAGACCGGGATATTATGTAATGTGAAATTCACTTTAGGGCGTGTTCGGGTCTGCGCACCACTCGACGAGGGCCCGTGTTGCGCAGCACGATCGCAAACCTCAACCACGACGCCACCCACCACCACCACAGGACGGCAGCCACCTTAGCAGCGCACACAGCCAATGGCGACACGACCACACACATCTCTCACACCCCGCATTACCACACGTCCACCGAACCACATGAAGCTCCTTCAATTTAACTGCAATGGGCTTCAGAGCAAGACCGAGGTGATAACCGTCTTTACTGTTAACTGCGGTCCAAGAGACGAAGTTGCACAGCAATTCGACATTGTTGAATTGTGCCGGGTACAACGTGCACCGTCGAGATCGCGAGCGAGATAATGGTGGTGACTTAGCGTTCATCACGCACCACACCGTGCAGTATCGTCTTATCGAAGCAGACATCGACCGCAGGGATACACCCTAGAATGTCAGAGCATTGCTTTCCGGTCAAGCGATGTCGAGTTCGAAATATTTAACGTTTATATACGACCTGTCACCTGCTGCCCGGCAGAATATCACCCTGATATAGGTGCGCTCCTCAGAGGTGAAAACCGAATGGTAGTAGGTGACTTTGATGCGCACCACGATCTTTGGCACTCAAGCCTGTCAAACGATCGTAGGGGAACCGATCTGGCTGAGCAGATAGACGATTCGACATTATGCACATTGAACGACGACGCACCCACCAGGATTATGGGCAGCTGCTGCAGCTCGCCAGACATAACAATAGTCAGCGCTAGTCTGATAAACAGCATATCATGGCGGCCTATGCTGACCTTGGCATCAGACCATCTGCCCATAGTCATCTCGATCGATAAACCAACCGACTTTGCTTCCGCGGAGCATCGAACCTATATCAACTTCTCCAAAGCTGATTGGATAGCCTTCGCGGAATTTACTGAAAACACCTTCGCTGCTCTCCCCACACCAACCAACGTCCACCTTGGTTAACGTAAGTTCCGCAGGGCTGTCACCGCTGCGGCAGCTCGCTTCGTACCGGCAGGATGCATAACGGACGCATGTCCAAATTTCCCTGCCGAAGCGGCTGTTCTAGCCGATGAGCGTGACAGCCTTTGTCAGGCCGATCCCGGAGATCCCCGTATCAGGGATCTCAACGCAGAGATTCGGCAACTAGTGAACGTACATAAGCGGAAGAAGTCGGATGAACATCTGAAGACCTGTAACTTCACCTCTGGTGTGAGTAAGCTATGGTCAACCGTGAGGTCACAGTCCAATCCGACGAAGCACGACGACAGAGTCGAAATTT